AATCACCTAGATCCGATTGGATCCGACGCTTCTCAATCTCTGGATATTCCTTCCTTGTAACTAACAACTCTGATATTGTTAACAACATGCGAAATGTCTGCAGTTTCGCGCAGCGGCCTTTCTAATAAATTTATTCCAATTCGATCCAGAACCCGTGGCAACTCGCGAACAAGTAAAATCGCATCCTTTCTCGAAATCTAAAATAGTCGTAATATATGGATAACTAACATTTTTTGCAACGAGAGTAACATTTTTTGCAGCGAGAACAAAAGGTTTTGTACTGTTGCTAAACTATAGCTCTCGCTGCAAAAAATATAGCTCTTGTTGCAAAAAATATAGCTCTTGCTGCAAAAAATATTAGTTATCCATATTTTACGACTAAATTTAGCTAAATTTTTTTCCGTGTATTCGATTAATGCAATCGTATTGAGAACCTATGCGACGAGCGTATTGAGAACCTTGAAAGTAGAAAATTCTCGAATTCTGGACGGGTCAAAGAGACATTCTCGGGACGGGATTTTCTACCTGAGCGTTCCTGATTTTTTCGATAAATTGATTTATTTCGACGTCATTGTGAACACCTTTAACAATGAGAAGCATTTGTCCTGCGGAATTTAAAGCAAAGATGTAAAATAACCGACTTGCAGAGCGGCGAGCGTGGAAGGATTCGCTTCTCGATTCGCTTTTTGCAAGCGAGAGACTTGATCGAGCACAACGCGATCTAGTTAGGGCCGGAAGGGTGATTTATCAAGCGGCCGCATCATTACGCGCGAAAGGGACACAGCAGTGCCGTGATTCGTAGTCCTTCCATCGGGAAGAAGAATACGTATTAATTTATGTCTGCATTCGCGGCTGTCATTGTCATGTTAATCGGGTCTCCACGCATTAGCCGTGCTTTTCAGTGATGCGTGCATGCATCCCGTGCGTGCGTGCGTGCGTGCGTGCGTGCGTACGTGCGGTTCGCTCTTGTCTGTCGCACAGAAGTCCTGAGACACTACAGACAGCCATTCGACTGATTCGACAGTGGGGATCTGAGAAACTCGGGCAGAAGGGCTTTTCGGGATAAACTTGGCGGCCCCGGGCCACTCCGCGACTCGACGGGCGGATTCGCGGATCGCTTCGATCGCGAATATACGACTGATACAATGTAGGAGACGATGATAATGATATTATGACGATATTAAATCAGAAATCAAGTCACACTATCTCAATCTTCAATCGCGAACGATTGACTGCTCTTCTCTCCGTAAGACATCTTCGCTTTTCATCGATCGCATCTCGTCGAGATTCGTTAATTCGAATAATGGAACGCGAGATTCTCGGACTGTCGCGCCGCTTAACATCTGGCTTAACTAACGCAGTAATCTAGAAAATGATGAATATACCCGCACCAAATATACGTGCGCGCAGGATCCCGTTGAAAGAAATTACGCCCGTATCTGCGTTCCCGTGTGTGAACACCTCGGATAAACATCTTGTTGTATACCCTCATGAAGAGTTCGGCAACTGCGCGCGTGGCGAGGACAATTCGGATCGAAGATCGAGATTTTCGCGCCAAGAAAATACAACGGTAGAGCCCGGCCGAAAATTCGGTTTCGGTTTCAATCTCGGCCAGTTTCGGCTAAAATCGGAGTTTTGGTGACCATAGTCGGCCGAAATTAAAAAAGATTGTTTCGGCCGGGCTATATATGACGGTATTATCGTCGTGCGACACATTTCAGCGTGTCTCTCGGAGCCCCATGTGCGCACAGCCAGCACGAATCTCTGGTCCATTTACTACATCCACGTATTTTACGTTACGTTACCGCGCGCGTGACTTGTCGGCTGCTGAAATCGCACGCACTCGAGGGGGTGGAAGGTGAGAAATTCGCGGGAAGGGTTACGCCGGGGTTGCGCCTCGCCCCGGGGCCCGAAAAGTCGTTGATATCGAATCCGAGAGGTCGCTGAAATAAATCGTTAGCCCTCGAGATAGAGGGGGAGAAAGGAGCTTTCCGAGGGCCGCGATTGGTTGCTCGAAGGATGAAAACCCGAGGCCTATAGCTACGTTTTACGAGCGTTCTCGTTCTCCATTTTTACGAGTCCCGGAAAAATGAACCGAATAGCTCGCAAATTGAAGCGTAATTTCGTGAAGAGTATGAGCGAAACTAACAATAAGTAAAATCGACTATATTAAAATTTCATTGATGTTCCTACGGGATATGAAAGGGGTATTCACATTAATATTTTGTACTTTATTCGTGAAATAACTTGTGGAATGCAAGATAACTTGGTAAATTTTTCTATTTAATTAATTATATGGTAGATGAAGTATTCAAATTTTTTTCGAAAAGGGCGTGTTTCAAAGCATGTAGCTTTTGCAGATCCGTGACTTTCCTTAGCGATGCACTTCGCAAAAAGTACCCGGAACGAAGAAGGTATAATAATAGAAAGATAGTCCAGTAATTTTAAAATTGTACTTCGGAAAAATTCCAAGTGAGCTGAACTTTTGCACGCACTTTTATTTAGTTTTTATAAATAACATATCAAAAATCCCCATCATTTGATCGTACGCATAATATTTTCGTAAAAGGTGTTAAAAATTGGTTTTTTGCTAATATCTAAGATTCCTATTAATTTTACAACTATAACACAAATTAATCCTATGGATTATCTCCAACAATGTATATTTATTCAAACAAAGATGAAAACGAAAAACAAGTAGAAGAAGAAAAAAGAAAAGTATAATTTTATGTCATTCTGTACAAAAGAATGTGTGAAATAAAGTACTTAAATACCCATAACTGTCTTAGCTTGCAATTTTAACGCCAGAATAAGCGAAAACAATTACGTGTACAAAAAAATAATAAACCTATAACCTTTTTTCTCGTCTTCATTTTTTAAAATAGACGTTATAGTTGTAAAATTAATAGGAACCTAGATATTAGCAAAGAACCAGTTTTTAACACCTTTACGCGCTGTAAAATATTATGCGTACGGTCAAATGATGGGGACTTTTGACGTTATTTATAAAGACTAAATAAAAGTGCGTGCAAAAATTCAGCTCATTTGGAATTTTTCCGAAGATTGTCGAATTTTGGCTCATAGTTCGTATCTTCTGTAGGAGGCTGCTCAGCGGAGCAAGTATGGGTAACAATCCCCCTTCCGGCCCACCCCTTTGTCGCTCGCTCGCTCGCTCGTTCGTTCGCCTCGCGCTTCGCGTCGCGAGGCGTTACGACGCGCGTGCGCAATTTTCAACCCCATCTGCGGACTCCTCCCTATACCTCTTTCCCCGCGCCCTCTCGCCAACCCTCGTTGGCACACGTGCATCGGTCGGAGCCCCGCTCGAACGAACCCCGTCGAGATCGCGCTGTCCTCGTTCTCTTTCCCCTCCCCATCCCCCTTATATTCCTTTTCCTAGCCTCGCTTTTCCTCTCTCTCCGCCCCCGTGGTCCTGGAACCGAGTCCTGGGTTCCCGCCATGGCGGATGGGAATGTCAGCCGACAAATGCCGACCACGGCCGAATCGCGCGCAAGACAAGCGGACGAAAACGGGCGGGCAGCTGTGAACGGACGGACGAGCGAGCGAGTGAGTCCGCGTACGGACAACACACAAAGCTACCCACCACTACCACTATCGTTACGACTCCTACTACCGATACTACGCTACCACCACCATCACTACTACTACTACTACTACTACTACTACTACTACTACTACTACTATACTACTACTACTACTACTACTACTACTACTAGTCGGAGAGAGCCCACAGTGGGCGCGCGGCGGATACGTCGCGCACTCAACACGAGATAGCCCGCCAAACCAAAGGTATAGATACAGTTTCGTTCGTTCCGTCGTGGGCCAACGAGCGGCCGGCCGGCGCGTCGTGTCCTATCTTGTTCAACGCGCGACGCCCAGCGTACACGGTATGGGGGGAAGTGTGCGTCCTGCATGAATGTGTGAGAGGGAGAGAAAGAGCGAGAGAGAGAGAGGAAGGTGGAGGGAGAAAGAGGGAGAGAATCGTCGTGCGTATAGAATTAGGAAGTAAAGCGGCGCGAATGGTGGTGTGCGGAACGGTAGTCCACGATCCTGCAAGGACAAAGAAAATATAAAAAAACGAAAAAAAAGTTTTATCTAGGACGGCCGCGGATTATCTAAGATTCGAAAAATCGCGGAAAATACGAATCTTCGCGGTTACAAATCTGTTCGGTTTGAAATTGAAAAAGATACCCCGACTCGCGAGAAGCTTACATCGATGGACTACATGGAGGAACTCCAGAATGTCTGCCGCAATCGCCGTCGATGGAATGCGTTCACGAATTTCGGAACAGTGCGTGGGGATCCTGCGCGTACAACCACGCGTCGGAGAGGATAATGAGAAAGAGAGATAACACGGAATCGCTCTTTTCTTCGTTCAACAAACTTTGACTTTACTCGCTGCCTGCAGGAGAAAGGTGGACAAAGGTGATGAGAACAGAAAGAATATAAAGTGAGTGTGCGCGACAACGCGGTTCCTCGTAGCGAGAGGTGTGGCGGCCGAATTTCTGATAATTACGAAAAGACGTAGCTCGGTCGTGGACGTCAAATTCTTAATTCTTCCTCAAAATAAGGTGCGATTATGAAATAAATTGTGGAAACCACTTTGAACGGAATATCGTAATTTCCACCAAGCAAAATCGGTTTGATTGAAATTTTTTGAGAAACTCGTGAGTAAAGTATCTCACGGCGCGTCGGCGTAAATTATACGAATTGCCGGATCGCCATTGCAATTTCAAAGTGTCCCGAAGGTAAAACGTTGCGGACCAGGGAGCAACTCGTAAACCACTGGCCTATATCGTGCTGTCCGATGCATTTTCGTCCGGCTCTGGTCCTTTCGCGTTGATCAGCATCGCCACCGACTCGCCCCAATCCTCCACCACCACTCGCGGCCACCACCGCTACCGCCAGGCGGCAGGCATCGCCGCGCCAGTGGCGTCGTAGCAACCACCACTACGTCGCCACCACCACCACTATCGCCGCTGCCACCGCCGTCGCCGTCGCCGCCTCCTGTGGCCTGTGCTAGCCGGCGGCGGTTCACGGTAGTGTCCTCGAACACGGCATGCACGTATCGTGCTGCGAAAGTTTTACGAGTCTCGCGGTGCGCCAAACGAGAAACGTGTTCGTGTGCCGACGTCGACGTCGGCGTCGCCGTCGAGACGTGTGAGAAACCGGGACAACGACGGCGCGTTCCTCCCCGAAAGAATCCGCTCCCTCCTAGGCTCGACTTACGCACCGCAGCGCGTGTGTGTGGGAAACAGGTTCTTAGAGCATGCATTATTTCGTTTCCGTCAGCGGGGTTTTAGCCCGCGCAAACGGGCTCCCCCGAACTCCCTGACTTCGGAGGAAACGCGACTTCTTCCCGCGATCGTAACGTCATTTTTTGTACAATATTCTCTTTCATATAAAATCTTCGCTTACAGTTTTAAACGTCGACTCGTGCTCGTTGGATGTGTCACTCGCTGCGTCGCGGACGAACGCAAAGCTTCCAAATTTGGATCGATATGTTTACGTTTACTGGAAAGTGTGCGATTTCCGCGTGCTGCTCCGACGAGAACAAACGTCCAAATCACCTCAAGTGGAGCACTTACGATTGTTCGTGAATAGTGTCAAACAGGTTTTCATTTGTCACAACTGTCAACAGCAAAAAGCGAGAGTAGGATTTGTCATTGTCAATGGTAGTCAATGTAATGATATCTTTGAACGAGCTTTTAAATTAAAGATCATCTATGCCGACGAGTGCCGCAGCTTGCTACAAAATATCGGATTACAATGAACCTGCTAAGAGAAGTACAAACGGAAAGAAATACTTCAAAGCTGCCTCAGAACTACGGGATGCCAACTATTCGAAACTGCCACCAATTTTGAAACTGCCGCACCGCTTTAAGGAATCAATCTACTGCGATAGTTCTTTTTCCTGTGTGCGTGAATAGCAGGCAAAATTTCGATTCTGCCCAACGTGAAATGAACGAACGACGAATAGACGAAATGGTGTGTATGTGTGTATGTGTGCGAGAGAGTGAGTGAGTGAGTGAGTGAGTGAATGAATGAGTGAGTGAGAGAGAGAAAGAGAGAAATTCATGGATTAATCTTTCGTATTACACTTAACGCATTCTAATTCCCGTATACGCTCCGTATTAGTAAATCGGTTTTTTCTGATATAACATATTTTAATAATCCGAAAAATATGTGCTGAAATCAATGTCGCTAGCAGGTTTGTCACAATCTGACTTGACATTCTAATCCAAGAGGTGTTTGAAATCAAAACTCAAGTAATCAAATTAAATCTCCAGACAACATTATTCTCAATCACGTTTTTCGAAACAACTCTTACAGCTCTTGAATCATTTGATTATAGGCTCGTGTATTTTGTGTTACATATTTCGCTCTTAATTATTGTCGTAAAAGATATTAATTTTTTATTTAAAAAAGAGGGCAAACAAGCACCAGTTTAACGGCGGTCATCGGTTGCCTTCTATTTAACCGCGTAACATTTTTTTTTACGCAGCACTCTTTTTCCGAAGCCTGTGGCGTGGGCTCGGACGTCGTTGCGCGCATTAATCCGTGGTTTAGCGAACCAATTTAAATATCAGCGTCGCGCTCGACGCAATTTTATATCATTTCCGATATCGCGCGCCTGTGTGGGTGGGTTTAACGCTGCGAAAGCCCTCCTGCCGCCCTCCCTGCGCTGGCCCCCTCCGTCCCCGTTGCCCCCGCGCAGCCTTCGTTCGTCTCCCTACCCTTAACACGAACCGTTACGCATCCACACCAGATATGCGTGTTTTACGATGCGTGTCGTCGCGTACTCCGTCGTCTTCTTCATCCTCGTCGTCTTCGTCGTCGTGATCGTCGTCGTCGTCGTCGTCGTCGTCGTCGTCGTCGTCGTCGTCGCCGTCGTACTTCTCCTCGTCACCGCCGTTTGTAAACGAGCGTGTGACCAGCTCTCGTACGCGATGCTCGTAACGTCGTCACTTTGCGGTATCTTGTGAGAGAAAGAAAGAGAAAAAGAGAAAGAGAGCACGCGCGCATGCGCATGTGCACGCACGCAATTCCATACAGTGGCGCGTCTTCGTTTTTGAACGTGTTTATTCGATACGATGTCGTCATAATACCGATATCTTCCATTTTTAGCACCTCAAAATAGGATCGGATTCAAAGTTCGTCGAAATGTTTCTCGTTGAAACTCGGGCGATTCTCCCCGATTTTTTTCGTCATTCCGGTCTTCCCATTTCCTCCTGTAGTAAGGAAACGATCCGGTGAACACTCGGGACACCCGATATATGTGCAGCCGAAGAGCGCGCAGCCGGCCGGCCGGCGAACGTGCGTGCGCTGGCGCGCGCGAATCAGTGCGCGGCCGAATGCGTCGCGTATGCGTGCGCGCCCGTCAAACACACCACATTTTGTCCGCGACCGATTTTTTTTCGCCGTTCCTCCCGTCGCGGAAAGGGCGAGATCGGGAGACGTCGAAACGCCGCGAGTTTCGGACGACGGTACCGTACGTAAAACCGTACAGCAACAAGTGACCTCGACGTCGGTTGGCAACCGGGTGGACGCGATTCGAAGTGCCGGTCCTCCCACCCCCGTGGTTCACAGGCCTTACCCGCTTGTCTGCCTGCCTGTTTGCCCGCCCGTTCCGCCCGCGCGGGGTGATCCCTCGATGTTCGCGCGACTTCTTTGTTTCCGCGATGCATCCGCTCGGACGGGATCGGCGGCCGCGCTTGTGAGAACCAATGTGACGCCCTGAGGGTGAAGGGAGGCAGGAGGATCTGTTTGGGTTTCGCCACGGATTCGCGAAGAAGTCGAGTCTGGTAAAAATAATTACGCGGAAGCGCGTCCCTCTTCTCTCTTTCCCTCCCTGACCTCGTTTACGTCACGATTTGAACGCTAGAAGGACCAAACGCGAGCGCGCAACGGTCCTTCGAGACAGGGCGTCGCGTAGTCTCCGTCTTGGCGGTTGGCGGCAGATCGAAAGTCATTGAAGCGCGAGACACGGGAGACGATGGAGGATGGAGGGCAAGACCGCTCGCGTGCGACCGAGCAATTCCCGTTCTCCGCTGCCCAACGAGCGCGCATCGCGCGCTGTCAATAGCGCGCGTCCCACCCATTGTCATCTCTCGTTGTCGATCAACGGCCGACAGCACCGTGTACAGTCGTCATTAGCCGTCCGCGACGCTCAGGGAATCGGACGAGTCGAAATCTAATAATAAACGCATCTCCTTCCGTCCGTTTCCGTCGCTCCAGGGAGTTCCGGAGCAGCTAAAGGCTCGGGAGAAGGAAGAGGGCAAAAATGAGCGCCGCTCGCGCTCGGCGGCCGCGAGCAAAAAAAAATGGGGGGGAGCTTCGGGTACACTTTCGCCGACCTCGCGCGCGAGCCGGCCGAGCTCTTCGGCTCTCTCGCGACAAAGGCCGCTTGATTCAAGGTCCCACGGATGTGCACGCGCACACGCACCGGGTTCTCTTCGTGTACGCGCGGCCCATTCGTCCGCGGCGTCCGAGTTGCATCGAGGACGCTGTCGGGATGAAGTTTCTTCCACGATATCTTCTTTTTTTTTTTCAACGATTAAATCTCAACGCGTTGAATCGTGCTGATAAAATCGTTCGACGTTTGTTTTCGATCGAGCACAAAAGTTGGTAAAATTCTTCAAGATTTTCTTAATTCATTCATTCTCTTTCTCTCAAGATCGATAGTCGGTTGGTTGAAGGATGATATTGCGCTCTATAATAGCGACGATTTTCTTCCGATTTTCTTCAACTCGATTTCGCGGCAGACGACTTGCAATTGTCTTGAATTCTCCGAAAAGTTCAAATCGAATTTACAACACTGAAGGTACGTCTTTCCTTTTCTCGTGCGTTAATCCGCTTTCTCGCGATGGCATCGCGCTAATTTCGGCATTACGCTGCGGCAAAAATGGCGCGCGAACCATTTTACCCCTTTTTCTTCTCGATACACGGCAAACAGCACGACGCGTGCTCGTATTCTCCAAAGCTAGTCCGGAGTTAGCGTACAGAAGTGTCGTGCTATGAAACTTTTGCTGTTTGCGCTCAGTTACTTCGATATCTTTAAAGACTTGATAAACGTACGTCTTTGTCTTATGTTCTTCATATGAGTTTCTGTGGTTCATTATGTGTTTAATAATCTAAAGCGTAGAGTTTGCAAAGTTAAAATTATCCAGCGTAATTCAGAATCGTTCTTTCAGTGGCGCGTGAAAACGCCAATTTCTCCCGTCGCCGCCGATTCGATGGAATGTCATCGCGAATTATTCAACTTCGCGAATCGGTGAGCGAGTGCGATTTTTCTCGGCGACGTTTGCGTTAGCGACGCACGGCTAATATTAATTCCAAGCGTGTGGAATCTCCGGGTCTCTATGGCAGCTGGTTTATATGCGCTTCTCGGAATTTGCGTCCTGCGCTTCGCCGCGGACGAAAGAATCCGCAAACGACTCGTTCTCTGCCACGACTATACGGAGTGTCCCAAAAAAGGTGTCCCTCAATGTCTACATTTTGTTCTTTGAGGAATTTCATAGCTTCTTTGTTAAAAGTCTCATCCAAAGCGTTTATTATAACATACTAATTTTGTAAATTTTATTATTAAAGAGAGAAAGAGAGAGAATTAAGGTTTATGCTATTTATTTTGGAGCTTAAAACGTAATTTTGTAACTCAGATGATACATTAATTAAACATTAAATCAATGTTTATTAGAGAAATCGTTCAGTGATGGAAATCCAACGATCGATGTTTTAAATCACCCTATATGTAGCGGGCGACGGTGAGATTGAATTTTTGTGCATGCACCTACAGTCGATTCGACGAAAGTGCAACCGGAGATAGAAAACTAACGGGTGTCAAATTATTTTTACGCGTAAAGTAAGAATTAAAGAATTAAATTTTGTTGCTTTTATCATTTCTGTTAGTCACAAATTTACTTTTGTCTATTTCAAGTAGGAGTTTTAAATGAGATATATTCCATCATTCATAGATTTTGAAAATAATTGAATTTTTAAATATCCTTCAATAAAACCGATATCATTTTTATTCTACAATTACTTTTTTCTTCTAATTAGGCTTACGGAAAAGGCAACTGTCTTGAATTTATCTTTATCCCATAACTCGGCATGTATAAAGCTATATATCGTTTGGAACAAAAAATAATACTATCCAGAATTTATGCGCGCACTATCGGCACAAGATTCGCGACCTTTAAAGACTAAAGTTCGCGATATTCAGTGTAGACCAAGATTTATGGACATTAGCAAAGTTCAATTGCTGAGACGAGAAGGGTCCTCCTGTACGAAATTCATTCAACCAGTTCAATTATTAGAATCCGCATAAATAGCGTGCCTCATTAATTATGGATCCATAATTAGATTGCACAAAATATAATTGTATACATCCGCGTAAGCATGTATTAATTGCAAGAACGACTTAAACTGAACTGTAAATTGTAAAAATTTAAAGGACAGATATTTAGATTGTCGCAATTCGCAATAATCAAAATTGAATGCGAAATAAAATCTTGATTTTTCGTGTTTATTAGTGTGCGTGTGTGTATATATATGTATGTGTGTATGCGTACGCGCGTGCAAAGTAAACGGTATCACTTGCGTGCAGCGCGAAATAGTGGAAGCATCTCTGCAAGGTCAAGCCGCGAGCGAAAGTGCTGGCCAAACGACAGTGCAAGTTTCCAGCGATAGCGAAAGCACCGGGCGGTCACAGCTGTAAAGCTATTAGAGTTTGAGGGTGGAAAACGGGACGGGGCGGGGTGGAGGATGGAAAAGCAACCGCTACATAGCGGGAGCTATCGCCGCCTATATATCTGCGTGCTTTGCGAAAGCCATGCTTACAGTCGTACGCGCATGTTACCTGAATTACATACAGGGTAGTGGAAGAGGGACGAACCTATTTTCAACGGACCTCCCATCTGTGGTATCGAAACAAGCTGATCGTGACTGTAACAATGCCCCTTCGTAATTTTGATTTGGTCCAAATGTGCCTCTCACTTTTGGTCATATTAAAAATTATACGTCTGAAGTTAAATTATACGTGAATAACAAGTCCGTGCCGTTTTCGCCACCCTGTGACGGAGTTTGTGCCGTACGCGTTATGGTTGTGTGCGTGTGGGTGAGTGAGTGAGTAAGTGAGTGAGAGAGAGAGAGAGAGAGAGGGGAAGAGAGAGGAGACGGGTAGGAGACGGATAGGAGAAAGAGGAGCAGCGAGAGAACAAGAGAATAAACATCGATCGATATTTCGCGGAGGACTAGCAGCCCGATTTTAACGACGGCGACGAAACTCTCGCGACTGCGAACAAATCTTTTTAGACTTGACTCCAAAGTCTACATCTATTTTAATACTCTAAATCTAAATATTAATTTTTGAGAGATAGATTTGTTACATACAGGGATGAAATAGTTCAACATTTTGTTTACTTTTTAATACTTTTTATTATTTTTTTCAAATTATTTCCAAAATTATCGATTTTGTCAAAGAAGTCTTTACCATCAATGACACGTCCGTCTTTTCTGTCTTCGATCGGACTGCTCCACTCGGAATGATGTGACGAGTTCAAAGCCATCGTCGGTCTTCTAAGCAACGTGAATGAAACGGCTAGGCGCGAGTATCAAAGCGAGCGTACGAGTTGATGGTGTGCGAATACCAACGCCGAACGTAATAGTAGCCTTGGCTTAGCGATGGTCACGTTATAAGCAACGTCTGTGACACATTCTCGCATAGTCTCGCGTCACGTGCGCGCTCCCGCTCGCGTGATGTATAACGTATTCGTTGATCCGCGCTTGCAGCTCCATTTTTTTTCGTCGATTTTTCCACCCTCGGTATAACGTGCAAGTGCTTTGCGAATCAGTTTAACGCCGATCGAGTAATCATTCTATATCATACCGGGAAAAAATTTCACTTTCTCACTATACAGAAATGGCACAAATATCTGATGGACAAATCTTTCTGTTTTCCTGTTTCAGATCGTACAAATCAACCGCCTTCTAACAAGCCACATTAACCTCAAGTGATTTCTATTTTCTTACGAAACGCGAAAGAAATATGTAATTAGTATGTTTATATCGATTTAAAGAAGGAACACACAAAAAAAGAAGATATCCCAAGAGCTTAGGTTCAGAAGAAGACAAAAGAGATTAAGAGCTATATTAGCTAATAAGTGTACAAAGTATATCTAACTAAAGGAGGAAAACAAGAAACAGATAAAAACAAACAAATAAATAAACAAGTCCGCCAGTGCCAAATTGAGAAAGAAAGCAAAGTGAAAGTGATCGTTGTAACAGAGAGAGAGCGAGAGAGAGAAAGAGAGCGAGAGTAGAGTAGAATAAAATAAGATTTATTTTATCTTGGAATATAAAAGAAATAACCTTTTAGGCAAACACATGCAGTGTTATCTACAAATTTCATAAGAATAAACACACAATCGAGTGCAAACGTACAGCATTTTAATTATAACAGAAGGAAGAAAGAGAGAGCGGCGACAGAGTGATACAGTGCGAGAGCAGGACCGTAAACCAAAGAATCTACCATTTTTTCTATTAATCATTCATCGAATAACGATAATCTCTCGTCAAGTGAAATAATAGTGAGACACACACCGATTTCTTCGTCAGAGCCAGATTAATTAAGCGAGCCGGCATACAATTTTGTAGAGGTTTATAGAAATAGCCGTAAAATATAAGTGAATTTTTTAAACTGGACGCGTCACGTGACAGATTTTCGCCAAGCGAAAAGAAGAAGAAGCAGACAAAGGGAGGAATCAATCGGATTCGCTTGAACACTCCCAGAGTAACCGATCTACTTCAGTTCGTAGCCTAAACCTGTTGAGTACAAAACGACACAGAGTTAAAGATATAGATAGACAGAAGCGAAGAGAAAGGAAGAAGAAGAAGAACGAGAGGACGAGCGTAATATCGAAGAATAGACACAATTACCTGGAAGACTACGTACGACCGGGCCCAGTTCCAGACAAGTGTAACTACTCCGGAATCTACTTCGAGATCAAGATTTGCGCGAATATCGCGGATGCCAATCCAGAGACGACACTCCATCGTCATCGGGGAAATCGGATCTCCAGGATCCGATTCGACAAATTAACAGAAATCGGAGTCCGATCTGTTGATCGAGAAAGGCGCCAATGTCGCGTATAAAAATTTCGTTGATTATCCGCTCGAAGAAGACCAGATAATCTCGAGCTTTCGGATCCAAAAAGGACGAGCGTCCAAAGGCCGCTCGCGCGATCCTCGGGAAGAGTTCCGGCAAGAGGATCCACCACCAAGTGGGGACGTGAAGCTCGCAAGCGAGGTGGAGGAGTTAAGGTCGCGATGACGTGGCGGGGAAGATGAGCGCCGAGGTGACGAAGGAGGTCGTCGCCACCGAGAGGGTCCCGACGAGCCCTCCGGCGGCGATCGCGACCTCACCGGGCGGCACCGGCGACCTGTCGGCGCGGCATCTGCCGCCCTTCAGCAGCTTCGCCGGCGAGAACACGATGGACGCCTCGACGACGTTGACGACCCTCCACCCCCAGGACGGGATAGGCCTGATGGCCTGGGACTCGTACTACGAGGGCCTGACCGGCCGGCTAATCGACGTGGTCCCGGCGAGCCAGTACAGACCCTGGGAGTCCAAAGGTGGCGGCGTGGAGGGACTGCCCAGCTTCGCAAGTCAGTTCACCGCCCCAAGCGAATCCGAACCTCAGTTGACGGCGTTGACGCCTTTATCACCGGCGTCCATTTCGCACTCGCCGCCGGTTACATCGGCCGTGGGCCTGCCGAGCTTCCACACGCTTGGAACCCCGCTGCCGGCGCCGCATCCGCATCGCGGAGCGGTCGGTTATCCACTGGTACCGGCGCCAGTACAGGCTCGAGAGGTCCCGTCCCTACAGCAGCAGATGCTCGACGAACGTCACATACAGCTCTTGGGCTCCAGCCCGGTCCAAGCGTTCCCGCCACCTCCACCGGGTCATCCGCATCATACAGTGCTGACGGTAGTAAAGCCTGAATATCCGCAATTGCACCACGCAAATTTCCAAAACCCGATGTCGACCGTACTGGACTCCTCGCCGACTTCACGGCCGATCGGCATCGACGGCCGTAAAAAAGAGCGCAGAAAAATCCGCGCTGGTTCAATGGAGTCGGAAGATGGCGGGGGCGGTGGTGGTGGCAGTGCTGGTACCGGCAACGTAGAAAGTTCCGGTCAAGTCGCCGCCGTCTCATCTACCGCGAATCGCGGCGTGCACCATCTCGGCGGGGGTATGACCGACGGGGATGGTGACGGTGGCCTTGGCGACAAACCGGCGAAGAAAAAGCGGAAGAGATGCGGCGAGTGCATAGGCTGCCAGCGCAAGGACAATTGCGGGGATTGCGCGCCGTGCAGAAACGACAAGAGCCATCAAATCTGCAAGATGAGGAGATGCGAGAAGCTGACGGAGAAGAAGGTGAGTGAACCGTTAACTCAAACGAATCGTGTTATTGACATCGTGGCATTTATTTACAATTTTTTTTCACGTTATTTGCGTAAGAGTAAAACTCATGTTTTTGTTGATAGCGATTTGCGTTGATAGATAAGATACAAACTTACAGATAAAACGCATATACATTTATATATGTATAGTTTGAACTTGGCCTCAATGCCTGAGTGTGCCGTGAATCCCTGAGGGAAATACAGAAATACAGATAACCGAGGTGGTTTATTATTGTAGCGACAGTGAATAGAGGGTTGGCGGGTTGACTGGCTGACTGTTCAACTGCTACCGCGCAACTAGGGATGGCGTGGAACTACCTACAATTCTGCGTTTGATCAGGGCCGATTTAGAATTGTCATATCGACAGATACGATACGACAGATGAAAAATCTAAATCTCGCCTGGGTCATTTCAAGCACAATAGATCTTTTAAAATGTTAAAATAGCTACGATAAATAAAAAATCAGCTCTTTATAGTCAATACGTAAATTCGATCACGTGCACAACATAAAGGAGCAATTTGTTAAAAAATCACCGCGATCTGTTTCAATCTGATTAGTAATTCAAGAACGTGCGGCGTACGTGTATATTGTCTATACGTCGCCGCCGCGGCCGGTGACTGTACGAACGTTCGATGTCTTGGGAAGGCGAAGCGCGCAGCAACAACGACTGGTAAAGCGGTCTCGCTTATCGTAGGGCAAGTTCAAGGCTCACCGCGGGTCATAATAATCGTATCGAACGTCGTTTCTCGTTCAGAAACAGTCGTTGTTTGCCGGCGACACGCGCGCCGAACCGTACGTCTCGCCCCGACGACGCCGACGCCGTCAATACAAGTCCGCCGATAACACTCCGCTATTTATCAATTAGCATTTCGTTGATCGATGCACTTTATAGCTTACCGATAGCGCGCTGTAATCTAATCGGCATTTAAGGCGACCAGGTATTTATGAGACTTCTCACAAATTCCTTGTTTTCTGATCAACAACGTGGCGCAATAAGAATGAAATTCTGGGTGTTTTCCGAGTTTCGAAATTTCGGGGTTTTTTTTTTTTCAAGATTTTCTAAGTCACCAAATTCCAGAAGCTCGATCTTTTCTCCTATCTGCCAGCGTGTCAGATTTCCGGCGGCTATTTTTGGCGACGCCGAAAGTCGCGCGGGGGGGCCCGAAAGAAAAGGGATGATAGATCGCCAAGAGTCGAAGACCGCTGTGTACAGGCGCGCCGTCACAACAACCCCGCACCCCCTAGAACTTAACACCCTCTTTATCCCAAGGGAAGGAACGGCCGGGCCGTCCCCGCTGTCTTTCCTTTCGCCCGCGAGAAAGAACTCTGGTGAGTTCATCGCACACCTGCTGTCGAGAGGCCGTATCCACCCTTCCCCTTGACTGCCGGTCTGATTTTTATCGCCTTCCTCCTTGTTTTGACCCGATTTCTCATAAACACGATGGATCATTGACCCACCGCATCTTTTCGGAGCGTCTTCGCACTGTTTTTACTCCCTTTTCTCCGATAGCGGATAAGAACACAAAAAAAATAAGTTTTCGCATTCGTATTTCTTACACATATACAGAGTGTGGCGTTTCGTTAAATGTGAACGTACTTTTAGATTTTACGGATTATGCTACGCATATCATTGCGTTTCGCTGCTCAACGATTTAACTCGATAATTATTTATAACAAACAGACGGAGATCGATACGTGTATACTCCGCAGCTGCGAATTGTCTTTCGCGAAGGACGAAAATAAATGCGAGCGGCGGCCACGGTGAAGTGGCGTCTCGGTTCCGGTTTCTCGATAAATCGAAACAACGGAAGCCCGTCAAAGCCGGCGAAAAGGCGGACAGGAGAACGGGCGGGCGACGAGGGGCTGGAAGAGGGGAAAAAAGAGAAAGGGGATCTGTTTCGTGCGCGGACGAGGGTTCGGTTACGTTAACTCGCAACGCGAACTCGGCTCGTCCCGACGAAGCGGCGAGGAGCGACGAGCAGCGAGCGGCGAGTCCCGCGGAGTGCATTACCAATGCTTTTTGCGTTATTCGCTTAAAGCGATAACCGCACGATAACCGGATACAATTCTCGGCTGCTCAGGGTTATCTGACGGCAGGCCAATCAACCCGTTCGCTCCTCGTCACGGCAAAATAATGCGACGGGCTCGTGCCGTCGCTGCACGAGTATTAAAAAAGACCGCACGTTGCGCATCAGTGTGTGATATTTTTCTCGATGTAATGTTTTGGGTCCGCTATCAAAAACTTGATTTATCTGGTATAATCTGTCGCAATGAGTCGACTAACGTTTAAATCTAGGTCGTTCACAATTTTCGAATTTAATCATACTCAATAATAAAACTTTTTCGTTTATTTTACGATTTCAATTTGTGGAATATTTATTTCTCTTCCTCTTCTTTCTTTCTTTGTCTCATTACGCTGTTCCATTTTCTTAGAAAAAATTCTTCCGAGTTTGGTAAATTATTCGTTGTTATCTCCGATGCGGGTATTCACGGCACGATCGAGTTCGTCGACTTGACGATAACGCTCTTGGAACAGAAGGACGAAAGCGAGGCGGAGTTATCGTGTAGGCCGGGTACAAAAACGAGCGTTTTTCGCTCGCGAATTTAAATGAACGAAAAGGCGGGACCGCTTCCGAGTCAGCCCGAGAAAATCGACTCCCGTCGCGGGGTCTGAGAGCGGGAGGAGGAAGGAAGGAAAACGTAGAAAGGAGCGCGGAGGGGTGTGAGGGAGGACCTTGAAGCTACGCAGTTCCCGCTAACGGCAGGAGTGTGTTTCTCGAGTCGATATATCGATCCCCGCCCCCACTCGTTGTTTCCTGCCGCGGGAAACAGGACTCGTTCTCTTTCTCCCTCTCCCGCAGGATGAGTCACAGCCTCCCCGCGCGCGCACACACGCACCCAGGCACGCACGTGCGACGGCCGCGCGAGCGCGAGCGTGCGCGCGCCTCGGCGATCTCGAATTCACTATGCGTTCAACGCGGGAGGAGAGACACGGCCGAAAGATATTTTTTCTTTTTCCCCGAGTTCCGTTCCACTTCTTTGTAATGCTTTTCTTTTTTAGTTTTGATCAATAAGCAAATATTTCCTGCGTATCGACGAGAGTGCTGAATGATGATCGTTGTTGAAGTATTGATTTGAAAGTTATCTCATATTGGACTAATGTGCTGCACTTGCCAGATAATTCGCATGATTTTGATTAAAGCGTGACACGAAACTTATTTGTCGTCGTCTCTCTTCCGGGGTCTGGTTTTCGCAATTACAACGATTCTTCACGCACACGTGCAAAAGGAGGGGAAGGAAACAGGGACGGGTAGAGGCGTAGGGAGATAAAAAGTATGGCGAGGGGAAACGTTCTCTTTTTCTTTTCGTCAAATTTTCAGGGCTTACGCGTTTATAGGAAATTCTTTACGTCTCTCCGCATACCACCCCCATCCCCCATCGCTACCGTCTTCTCTCTTCCTCGTTACTGGCCGAATTTTCTACGCACACGCGAAGAAAACGCACGCGGGAAATGTTTGCACACGCACTCGATCGACCCGTTTTGCCACGGTGGAGATTCCTTGCTGCACCCCTCTATCCCCAGCTTCCCCAATGTGTCTCACCCTCCACATCTCTCTTCCACGATAACTCCATCCCCTCTTCGCCTTCGTTCTCTCTCTCTCTCTCTCTCTCTTGCACGCGCGCGCGCAGGTGTTGTCTTTCTTCCTTCTTTCTCTCCTCTCACGTTGATACCCCTCTCCGGCTCTCTTTGACGCCGCTAGCATCCCCGCTAAGACTATTTGCCAGGACACAGGGCGAAAATGTAAAGCCAGTTCTACATTATTCAACTACTGGACGGGATTCAATGTAGACTCATTCGCGAACATGACTATTTCAATATTAACTTAATTGTAAAATTATACATCATTGTATGAGTCTTAACGTGTCATAATACGATGCAATTCACAGCCGTCGATATATAAAAGGTTCGATACAATCGAGTCGTTGGCAGAAACGTTTGTCAGAAATTCTGCTCAACCTTCCGAGAATCGCGCGAAGGGCAGTCATCGTCATCGTGAGTACGTAGTACATTTATTCACGTGCACTTAATGACAAAGGTAGAGTTCCCCGCTGCACGGTACAATTATTCTTGAAAAATGCAAAATGTTCGCGGTCGCTAGCTTCAAGATTGAGTAGACAACTGAGGAGAGAAAGAGCTTTTGGAAACAAAACTGAAAAAATTGATAACTTTCAGTTTTATTGTATACGAATAAAAATGTGTTTTATTTATCGAATTAAAGGAAAACAATTAGAAGACCTGCCGCACAAAGTGAACGATTTACATTTCCTATTGATATAAATTTCTAACGTTACATGCACATTTCTAATCATATAGCGAAACATGATGGTAACAAAGTGATTTGAGGTCAGAGGTGACGTTTTTATTAATAATAACGAATTAACAGAAGCCTCAGCGCACAGAGATACAAAATTGATGTATCGCTTTTTCAGAAATCATTCTCCAGATATCAAATCAGTCATAGCAATTTACTTTCTAGACGAATTTTCTGGTCCACCTTCTAATTTGAGATTCTTAGATATCTCATATAACGCTCTTGATTGTCTTGCATCGGAATAAATTTAGCGAACGCTGCACTCGTATTGCACGCGTCGCACGCGTGTTTCTCTATCGATTTCGGACGTGCGCCTAAATATCGGCGCGGTCTCAACTGCGGTCATGGTTTACGGCGGATTACGAGTATTGTGCGAAGCCCCGCGGAGGATATAATCTGGCTAGATTCGCTATATCGATTTTGAGTTGCAGCTCTGTGCATCGGGCGCGTGCGTGCGTGCGTGCGTGCGTGCGTGCGTGCGTGCGTGCATGCGTGCGAGAGCGCGTGTGTGCTCTGAGTCATAGCCCGTGCACGTATAGCGTATGGGTGACGCTGCGTACGCGTGCACGCGCTCCACACGCACACGTCAGATCCTTCG